TAAAGGAACGAAGAGAAGAAGGAAGGAAGGAAGGGAGAAAGGAAGGGAGGAAAGAGAGTACACAAAGTTATCAGAAAAAAGGAGGTATTGGAGGGGAGGAAGTGGGTGTAGATTTGATCAAAATACCTTATATGCATGTATGAAATTCTCAATAAGGTTTTTTTTTTTTTCATTTTAAAGAATATTTTATAGTGCTGGGGAGATGACTCAGTGGTTAAGAGCACTGGCTGTTCTTGCAGAAGACCTGGGTTTGATTTCCACCACCTACATGGTGGCTAACAACCACCCCTAACTCCAGTTCCAGGGAATCCAACACCCTTTTCTGTCCTTTGCAGGCACTGCATGGCATGGGTGCACTTACACACATGCAGGCATAACACTCATACACATTAAATAGTCCCAGCACTTGGGAGGCAGAGGCAGGCGGATCTCTGAGTTCAAGGCCAGTCTGGTCTACATAGTGAGTTCCAGGACAGCTGGGGCTTACAGGGAGACCCTGCTTCAAAAAGACCAAAAAAAAAAAAAAAAATTTTTTTTTAAAGAACATTTAATAGTCCAGGAAATTCTAGGAAGAGATTATGTTCTAAATTATTTGATTCAGTTGACTCAGAAATAAAATATTCAAAATTTAGGAGGTGAGTATGGTTTGCTTTGGAATGTTTTCATCTAGAGTCTAAGAAACCTTTGTTAGATGTACCTGGTTTTCTGTCCCTTTAGATGCTATGGGAAAGATTTTTACTTGATGTATGTACTGGATAGCTTTAATGTCAACTTGACACACCTGGGTTGAGGGAGCCTCAGTTAGGGAATTGCCTCCATTGGACTGGCCTGTGGTCATGTCTGTGGGGCATTTTCTTGATTGTTGGGTGATGTGGGAGGGCCCAACCCACTGTGGATAATGCCACCCCTGGACAGGTGGCCCTGTGTTGGATAAGAGAGCAAACTGAGCAGGGGCCAGGGGAGCAAGTCAGTAAGCAGCATTCTTCCATGACTTGTGCTCCAGCTCCTGACTCCAGGTTCCTGCCCTGAGTTCCTACCTTGGGCTCCCGTATGAACTGTGACCCGGGATATGTAAGCTAAATAAACCCTTTCCTCCCCAAGTTGGTAGTGGTCAGAGTATTTTGTCACAGCAATGAAGAAACAAACTAGGACAATGTATATGTTTTGTTGTGGGCTTGTGGTAAAACTTAATGAGGCTCCTCTTTGCTCACTCAGAGAATGTCTGCACACATAGATGCA